GCCTTGTCGCGTCAACTGCCATGGAATTCGGACTTGTCCTGGTGCTTTTCTTTGACCGGCTATATTTTTATGGCATCGAACGCCCGCTGAATACTTTATTCAAAAGAGAACGTGCGAACGCATCGTGAAATGTATTTTATGACGCGCAATTATTAACTGCGGACAACTCCACCAGCCTCATTCCTGCTTGGCATGGCGCAGACCGAAGCGCCGAGCGCACCCGCTTGCTCCGAGCGCAAGGCCGCGGGCAGCCTCGACATGGAGGTCCAGCCGCTCAAGGCCAACGAAGAGGGCGTCGACGCAGATGCGCTCAAGAAGGCCGAGGTCGTCAAGCCACACACGTCGGCCTGGCTGCGCCCGGAAGCGCTTGTGACCATGGTCTTGATCGCCGTGACGCTCATTAGCTACCCGTACACGGGCGGTATCCGCAGCTGGCATTACGTCTGGTGGTGCGGCTGGCTCACGGCGGTCTCGACGGGCTTTGGCGCCGTACCCTTTCTCTGGGTCAAGGACATTGAAAAATTCTGGCTCGGCGTCTGCAATGGTACTGCGTCCTTCGATGTCTGCGAGTGTCGCCATCATCGCTTTATGTAGCACTGGCGGCTGGCATGATGCTCGCCGCGACGAGCTGCCTCTTTTACGAAGCGTTCCACGTCCAATCCAAGGACGACGACGTGCTCTCGGTCAACGTGCGGCTGCTGCTCGGTGTCCTCTTCGGCATTGTGTTCATCAAGACGACCAAGATCATCTTGGACGAGCACGAAGACGTCAAAGTGTGTGGCCTCGACGGTAGAATACCAACTCACTCATACCGTGTACCTCACCGGCCCTTAGGACTCGACGCGCAAAAAGCACTGCTGATCATGGCCGTCATGACGCTGCACTCGATCTCGGAAGGCGTGCGTGCTTATCGCAGGAAATCGCGTCGCTCATGCTATGCTGTAGATTGGTGTCGGCGTCTCGTTTGGCGGCGAAGGCGGCGACCGTCGCGGCCTCCTCGTGTCGCTCACGCTGGCCATCCACAACATCCCCGAAGGCCTCGCGGTGCGTCTTCGATCTCGTACAGTATAGGATGGCTCATGGCGAACATATAGATTTGCTTGGTGCTCATCCCGCGCGGCCTCAAGCTGCTGCCGGCGACCGTGTGGTGCATCCTCTCGAGCATGCCGCAGCCGCTCTTTGCAGTGCCGTCGTTCCTCTTTGTCGAGACGTTTCTTCCCATCCTGCCCGCGGGGCTCGGGTTCGCGGGCGGTGCCATGGCGTTTGTTGCGATCTGCGAGCTCCTGCCCGAGTCGCTCGAAGACACCGAGTCGAAGCTCGCGACAAGCATTTCGCTCCTCCTCGCGTTCACGACGATGCTCAACATTCAGTATGTGCTCACAGGCGAGCTGTAAGCCGGGAAATAGTGTACGATAGCCGTTTGTATTATGAGGTTATATTGAAGACCACGTTGTAAAGTCGTTGGCACCGTCGCCTCTTGCCAATATGCGAGGCCATCGGTCCACACGATATTGACATTATTGCACAAAAAATAGGCTTGTACCGTCCTCGAAACACGGCACGTTTGCTGGGCGGTGCACCTCGTTGTCTTTAAACCGGAGTCGAGTCTCACGAGCTAGCTGCATGGCCATCGCGCGTCACCGTGCGACGTGTGGACGCTTGCTGCTGCTTGCCGACCCGAAGATTTTCACAAGGCTTGTTCGCTCAGGGGAAAAAGGCCCACGTTACCGCTGCACCTCGGGTGAGGCGTGGCGGCTCCCCAAAGGCCGTGCGGCTGGCCAACGGAGCGATCTCCACCTCGTCGATGCGCGCGTCGACCGTGAACGCGTCGCTGCCAAACTTCTGGATCGTCAGATCCGCGGCGGCGCCCTTGAACTGCGCCGCTTCGCAGCGTCGTGAGAGCCGCCGGTTCCTTGCCGAGCGTCGCGGCTGCGCTGCAGTGCAGCTTGGCTGTCCATGAGCTGGCGGATGCAGTCATTTCGTGCCGTGCGGGCCAAGGACGCGAGCATCGGA